ATTCTTTTCACAAACCTCATCATGCGCGATAAACTCTGCGAAAGTATCTGAAAAAGCTGCCAAATTCAAATAAACATCCACCACCTGTCCAACGAGTTTGCGTGGTTCCCACTGGAAACGCTCTGCAGCGTCCCGAACCTGAACGTATATCAATATTGATACGAGATTTCTGGTGATTTACCACTCCAAAATTACAAAAAAAAGTTAGACCTTAATTACGACCAGTTCAAACACCAACTCCCTTCATTTTAATGCATATTTCCAACAACGATGGTGAAACCATGATTCATTTGCTATCAATTTTTTGCAATGACTATTAGTGCTTAGTACCTCCAATAATGATGAGAATCTGCTTCTCTTAATCTAATTTGATTAAAAGTATTGCCGACCACACCACAGATAAACACCGCTTTCCCATTTTCACAGATCTGATGATGAGAAGTATCCAGAGATAAACTATGAATTTACCTTCAACTCCATACACTTTCTTCCACAAAGTTGTTTGATGTTGTGATTTAGCATTGAAGCCAATCTGTCACCCAACACATCTTGAGCGAAGGGTTGTGGTGCATCTCGCGTAAGATAACCAAGAAGTTCCAAGGTATCCTTTGCATAGATCAACCAGGATCGAACCTGAAAAGACAATAAGCAGATAAAAGAAGAAAAACAAATATCTTCCAACTTGTCTTTTTGCGTCTTCCAAGACCCCCTCTTTCTGCTGCTGTTCTTCTCGCCCAAGAGCATTCCACTCTTCTTTACTTGACATAAGCAGCTCTACATCGTGGATCTTCTTTAACGCCGCCAGACTCTCATCCAGAAGGAATGTAGCATCATTAATTACCATGTTTATAAAACGGATAAACTCCGGACCGCAAGCTCTGAAAAGTATCTTTAAGAGCAAAACTCGGAGGATTGGAGATAGGCATACCTAGCTAACTGGATCATTACAGATCTATAGTAAGTCTCATTCCAAAGACATTGAAATATAACTTGAATGTTACGTCTAATGCTGAACTTTTCGTAGAAATCCGTGCCTGCTTCAGCATCCGAGTAAAACTAAATGTTTCTCTTTTTAATATATTCAAACACTAACAACTGATCTAATTACGTTATATTCCAACTGAGCTAAAAAGCTTAACAGCACCAAGAAAACAATAAAAAAATCATCAGGTGTTATCACGACTTGCAACAGCGCGCCTAATGGTGCATGTGGGATATACTTAGATGTAAACGTTCGCATACGTACTTGATACATATGTGTGCGTCGTGTAATGTATTTATGTATAAGTCAGTGGTGCAGCAGGGGAGGGAAACCTCTCCTACCCAATAAAGTGATAAAATGACTTATTATTATTATGTAACACTATTGTGAAAACTTGCCAAAAATAGGATTTAAAATTTTCAAAA